GCAGAGCAAGAATTTTTTTGTTATGTTGCTGTAGGCGGGGACTTGTTTAATTATTGACCAGGTTAATTTGGGTATTATTTTTAAGTTTTCTTTTATCTGTCATATACACTTTGAAAGGGTGGTTGAATTTTTCATCCTTTTGTTTGTTTGTTAATGAATGTTTGTAGTTAGCCCGTCTTTTTTTCCGTTCGCCTTCTACTAGGCCAATATATACTTTTTCTGGAGTGTTAGGTGGGATACTATACATTTATAAACAAAATTATAGACTCTACATTTTCCTATTACAGGGCAGTTTTTAATTTGGGGAATTTTGTGAATATTTATATATATATATATATATATATATATATATATATATATATATATATATATATATATATATATATTTCTGTACTACCTCAGGCAATATTAGCATAATTTGAATAACTATGTATAAATGAGTAATAAAGTTTGATTAAAACTTTCTTATTGAAGGAGATTTGTGCTTTGTATAAAAACTCCTATGCTTTTTGAAATTTTAGTGTTTATGTAATCAATATGATGATTCCAAGTGATGTTTTCATCAAGATAAACACTTAAAAATTTTGTTACGGAATCCCTTTTTATTTCAATTTGATTGATAAAAATTTGATGTAAGTTTAGTGGCAAAAATTGCTTTTTGGAAAATGAATGGAATAAGGTCCACTTTCTTTTATTAGTATTTAGAGTTAATTTGTTACACTTAAACCAACTCGTCTAAGTTCTTTATTCATTGTTTTAAAGAGTTCAAAGATATCACTGTTAGATAGGAATGAGTTAGTATCATCTGCAAACATAATACTTGTTAGTTTAGAGGCTTTATTTAAATCATTAATATAAATTAGGAAAAGGAGTGGCTCAAGAATTGAGTCTTGTGGGACTCCACACGTTATAAAGAGGCAAGTGGTGTGATAACCATCATTACTCGGAACAAATTGTTTACGATTTGTCAAATAACTTTCTAACCAATTTAAAACTTTTTTTTTATTCCATAGTGTTTAAGTTTATAGATTAAAACTTGGTAACAAGCCGTATCAGAAGCTTTTGATAGGTCAATAAAAGTCCTAAAGTATATTGTAATTTTTAAATGATTTTGAGATTTCACGTAAATTGCATGTTCATTTGAGCTATCCTTTTTAAAATCAAATCGATTAATGTAAAATAATTTATTATAATGAAAATACTTGTATACTTTGTTATATATAACTCTTTTCTTCTTGAAAATGTGGAAAGAACAAAAGGGCGATAATTACTAATAATTGATTTATCCTCTTCTTTGAAAATAGGAGTAATTTTGACAATTTTTAACTGTTCAGGGATACACCTTGATAGATAGAAGCTTTAAAAACTTTTAAAAGAACAACTTTTAGTTGTTTAAAACAATCTATAATAACGTTTCCATTTATTTGATCTGTTTCAACTGCTTTATTTTTTTTAATGATTTGAAGGCTCTTTCAAACTCTTCAAACAATAATTCAGAAGACAACTCATTTGAACCAATGCACTTATCCATGAATGAAGATTTGGCTTTAGGGATTTTTTTGAACAATATAAATAAAAAATTTCTTAATTTCTTTCATTATTTTTCACGTGTCATTTTGTGTCATTTTTATTAAGTAATTTTTAAGTTTTTTTTTGCGAATTTTTTCAAATAGATTTTTGTAGTCCTTGTAAATTTTTTCACTTGTAGGTGTTTTTGTTTTCAAAAAAATTATATATAGTTTTTGTTTAATCTTGGACGATTTTTTGAAGCCTTTGGTAATCCATGGTTAAACAACTCTTTAGTTATTATTATTTTTTTCAACAATTGGGTAATTAGCATCGTATATAGAAAAAAATGTTTAAAAAAAGTCTCAGATATTATTAGAATTATCATTTAAATTTATGTTTTTCCATTGCAGTAATGATAGTTGATTTTTGAATAATTTATAATTGGCCTCATTATAAAAGCGTTTTCGAATTACTTTTTGCGTGGTTATTATTATCTAATTTTAGGAATATATAGAAATGATCTGATATATCGGTTCACAAAATACCTAATTTTAAATCATTGTTGAATATATCTGTAGTTATAATATTATCTATTAGAGTTGCTGAATTTATTTCTTGTAGGTTTATTAAACTTATACACAAACGTGAGAGCAACAAGTTTTTTTTTTTTTTAAATTTGAGCAGCCGTGGCGCAGTGGTTAGAATTCTGGCTCAGAACCCAGAGGTCCAAGGTTCAACGCCAGCTCCTGCCCAACCAGCGACATTGGTACGGAAGGAGGCGTGAACTTTCTGTCAAATGCTGACCCGCGGTGCTCTATGATAAGACCGTAAGGACTTCTGGGAGCACCGAAATACAAAAAAAAAAAAAAAAAAAAATTAGAGAAGTTCTTTCAAATTAATTTTAAAGAAATAATAATAATTTTGTGATTGATGAAAATTCTGACCCAGATCTAAATTATTTTAGTGAGGTTCATTATTTGTAGAGAAGAAGAAAGAGTTAAAATCCAATTGGATAAATGTAGAAGAAAGAAAAAAGGAAGCGCTAATGATCCCGCTGAAGTATGGAGCGATATATCGGTTTTAAAGTAATCGTAAACAAAAATTTCGTAATTAAGTATTGTGGGCCATATCTATAGAATACATATTCAGACAGCTAATAAAAAGACGAATGGGCGACGGAAGGTCACTACTACGTAATAATGCTACTACGTCACTACTAAGTTATTCGTAATATTGATGTGGTTAAAGTAGATAATTTTTTCTTTTTTTATGGATTACGCTTTATGCTAGATTTTAAATGCTTCTTTAAATAAAGTTAACCTCATAAAAAAATTAATTTAAATTAAAAAATATATATTATTATCAAATATATAACTTTTATATAAAATATATAAAAGTATATATTATTATCAAATCCATATAACAAAGTTTATTAATGATGAAGTCCCTCTTAGAATGGTGCTCTGTAACATGATGCCTTTTTATTGCTCCAGCTATTTATTTTATTGTATATGTATTTATATGAAAGTTATATTTATAGTAAAAGATGAAATAAACAATTAAAAAAAAAAGATTTAAGGCCATCTACACCTGCAACATAAAATAAGTCTTATTAATCAGAAGATAAGGAGCAAGATCGTTGTATTCTTCTTAATCGTCAGTTGTTTAGTTAACTGCAATGTGCGACGGCAACTAAAATGACGGTGCGACGGCAACTAAGATGACGGTGCGACAGCAAACATCCATTTCAAAAATTGTCATTACAATAACAAGTAATCAAAAGGTTTTGCAAAATACAAAGAATTGCATATAAACACATTTACAGATACAAATTTTCACATAAGTTTACTATTCTTATAATTTTACTTATTTACTTAGAAAGAACATTGAATTGAATTCAAGAAGAAGCTGCGGAGTGGTTGAATGATTTTTTTATTCAATGATATTGTAAAAAGTACAATACCAGCAACAAATTAGTTGAAAATTATGGAAATGAAGGAATTTAACTCTTCTAATTTTTAATTTTAAAATTAATTTTATTTAAATTATAAGTAGAGTATATTCTTAAACATGACAAAGTATCATTCAGGGGAAGAAATAAGGATAGTTAGTGGAATAATGTGACCAAGTGATCAACCAATTAGAGTAATAGGTAACTATTGCAAAGAGAGTATATTTAACGAAATAGATAGAGTTACAATCTATTTAGTTAAATGCCGAAAAAAGAAAAAAAAGGAAGCGCTAATGATTCCACTAAAAAGTTTAGCGACTTATCAGTTTTATAGTCAAGACCATCTACATCTGCAGCATCAAATAAGTCTAACGAGTCAGAAGATAAGTAGCAAGATTGTTTATTAGCTTTATTAGCGATTGTTCTTATTTGCCAATTGTTCAGTCAACTGCAATAACGAGCATCATTCTTAAATTTGTTATTACAACAAGTAATCGTAGGGATGAACTGGATTCGCAAGTTACAAAAAATAACATGTGATAAAATTAAAATAAATACATAAATAAAATTTTCATTTTTAGTTTACTATTCTTATAACTTTACTTACTCACTTAGAAAGAAGATTGAAGTCAAGAAGAAACTGAGGAATGGTTAAATGAAGTTTATCCCGAGTTTATGCCTACCTACTATGCATTTAAACTAAAAGATTCTAATTGTTTCCCAACATATTTATCCAAAGATATTGTAAAAAGCACAACATCCGCAGAAAATAGAAAAATCAAAGGAATGAAGGAGTCTAACTCTCCCAAATTGTTTGCAAATTTACAAGATTTTTACGGCAGTTGCACACTTGTCCAGCTAGTACTGGATTTATTAAAAGATTTTTCTCATCCTTTCGCATTATTTGGAGCAAACTTAAGAGAAAAAACTGAGATGCTTGTACTAATTTAAAAACAAGACCAAGATTGACTGAAGACTGGTGACTAAATTGTTAGTTGACTGTTTTTAATTTTCAAGTCTAACTCATAAATTTTAAAGTTTATGAGTTAGACTCATTAGATCATAGTGTTCTTGTTACCTTGTTAAGGTGCAATTTATTAAAACTTTTTTACGATTTTTTACGATTTAATCATTGCTTTTTTGCTACAAAATATTTAAAACTAATTGGTTTTAGTTTCCGCATTCAAAAGTAAACTTATTTTTCAGTGCTAATGCTGATATTTCTAGATGGGAAGTGATTTTCCGATTAATTAAATAAGTTCCATATTAATTCATTACTGATTTTCGGCCTCCACCATAGAATGTATTTTCGGCCTCCACCATAGAATGTATTAAACGATTCTTTTTATACTTCTCTATATTTTTCTGATTCCTCCAAAATAAATATTATATACTATATATTTTCTTATATAAAATACTATATATTTAACTATATAAAATACTATAAATTTAATTGAGTAAAATAATTTTACTTAATAAAACACTAAATAATAAAAACTACTTATAAAAAACATTTACTTATATAAAATAAGTCTAAAAATCTACAACTTATATATTATTTCATAAAAATATACAAATTATATACCATTTCATAAAAATCTACAACTTATAAACCATTTATTAATTAAAAAATCCTACTAAAAAATATAAAAATAGTAATAAAAATTGTCATTGGTTCGCATCCTGCTTTAACAAATTTTCAATGTTACACCCTGCTTTTATGTCTTAACTAGATAATTTTTGTTCATCACAACTTTTCAATGATTTTTTCACTTATTAAGTCGTGAGCATCTCGATATTGACACTTTAAAAGAATATCAAGAAAATACTGAATAGTCACGTGAGGATATTGCATTGCGATAAGATCAAACAACTTCTCCGTCCGACTGTATACACAGGGACGTTTGCCGGTATTACCAATACGATTAATATCATCAGAACTTATTTCCAGTTCATCTGCGATGTCTTTCCAGACAGAGTAAGTTGTGTCTGAGCTAACGAGTTGAAAGCTGAGCTCACGAATATGAATATAACTAATTTTGTTAAAGTCATCATCATCATTATAATTGTTATTGAGCAAAATGTTTTGAGCACCACTAAGCTCAAACTTTATTAAGCATTCACGAAACTCTTTGATTTTTAGGGTTGGCATAAACATTTTCAAATATTCTAAAAACGAAAGAGCAGCGTTTCCACCACCATTGTCGGCAAATAGAACTGACATGCGTGAATTTCTATCAAAATTAAACGGAACCATTATTACTGAAATTCGATCATCTTTATCCAAAATCTTCTTTAAAGCGGGCCGTCCGTATCGAAATTCTAAAAAAAATAATTTATAAACGTCAATTTGTTTGTTTATTCAAAAAAAAAAAAAAAAAAAAAAAAAAAATTTAAGATTTAAAGATGGAAAAAAAAAATAAATAAATGAGAATTTCAAAAATAATTAACAAAAATAAAAAATTAACAAAAAGACGTCTTTCTTTTTCAACTTCTTTTAACTTAGGGTGGAATGCAAGAAGCGAACTTGAAAATTGAAGTCATACTTCAAGCCTGAAATTTGCCTTGAGCAAATGCAAAGAGCGAACTTGAATCAAGCTATACTTGAAAACCGGCCATTTTTAAGTTAGACTTAGCAAGCCAACTTGAAAAAGCAAAAATATTTTCCGAATGCAAGAAGCGAACTTGAAATTTTAAGTTATACTACAAAGCTGAAGTCTGACTAAAGTGTAATGCAAGAAACAAACTTGAAATGAATTCGTTTTTGAAAAATCAGATTTCAATCGTTTTTTGAAGTTCGGTAAAACAAACCTTGAAAGCAAACTTGAAATAAAAAAACCAATCGCCATTATCATTTTGTAAACAAGTGGTAAATATATGTATTTGTATAAATTAATAGAAACACTTATCTTATATTTCCTTCGACATGCTGTTTCTCTTTCTGTAAGTTCATCAGGAAGATGATGATAAACCTACAGAAGTACTTCTGTAGGTTCATCATCATCTTTCTGATGAACTTACTGAAAGAGAAACACATAAAACATATATAAAACTTAAATTTCATAAAAAGAAGCAATAACTGATATAAAAGATGTTATTAATAAAATTATAAGTATATGTGCGTATATACGTAAGTATATACACATAAATATACACTGTAAAAAAACTCCGTAGTATTTATCAGACTTTTTTCGTTGTTATGTTACGGAGAAAATCCGCTTTCAATAAATTACGGTCTATTACTTATACTTTTAAGACTTGAAACTTTATATGATTTTGTCCGTATTTATGATAAGGAAAAGTTCTGTAACTTTAAATTACGAACTTTAACCGTATATTTTAGTATAGCCTCTAATTTACAGAGCGCCATTTTTGCGTTTTTATAGTACATAAAAGAAACACTAAACAATATGAACTTTAAAAAATTCAATTCATAAGGATCTTAAGGTATTATAAGTAAATAAAACATATTTTACTAATCAGTCAAGTTTTATTTACAATTTTATTTAGACATTATTTTGAGTTTGTGATTGACAGTGTATTTATTTAAGATAATTTATTTGTTTTTTTATCATATATATATATATATATATATATATATATATATATATATATATATATATATATATATATATATATATATATATATATATACTTTTATGACATAAAAATATATATATATACCAAGCCACAGAGGGACTGCTGAGATGCATTTGATGCATTCAAAAGTATCCCTAAACACAAATTTGAAAGAAATTACTGAATAAATAAAGTTTTCAGACTGATTTAAAATTAATTCAAGTTATTAAAGCAGTTTTGAAGATTAAAAATTTTAAGCATGAATTAATACATCAACTTTTTAAGCATGAATTAATACATTTTAAAACTTCACGACTAGATTTGTTTAATAAAACCTTCGCAGATTCATTCAGAACAAAGAAAGGAATTTTAACCAAACCAGATTGTGAAAATGCCACAAATCAATTTTTTTATTGCATCTCTATTCATTTATGAATCTGATTATCTTATTTCTCTAAATAAGTCTTTTTAAATTTTGAATATTATTATTAGCTTTAATTCTGGTAATTTTCAGGGCTTTTTTTTACTTAGCAACTAATTTAAAATAAGTTGTATATATTCAGTGACAGATCCAGGATTTTTTGGTGATTAAGATAGCTAATTCCAGACATGGAGCAAACTCCAAACATAAGTATGTTTATACTTATGTCAAACAATGAGTCTATTAAAAAAATTGCGATGATTGGAGGCAGGTAACAAAAAAACCCTATAACTTCCCCCCCCCCTCCTTACCCCAAACATGAGGACAACAATTTGATAAAAAAAATTTGTACTTTTATCAATTAGATTTATATTCCTCGATTATTTTCAAGTTTCATAGTATTATCTCTCAGCGTTCAAAAATTATGACCATATAAAATTGTAACCCCCTCATATTGAGAGGAGTTTAAACTTTATATGGTCATAATTCAGAGATAATACTCTGAAACTTGAAGTTTATCAATGAATATAAATCTAATTGAGAAAAGTACAAAAAATTTTTTATCAAGTTGTTGCCCCTTACGTTTGTTTTATGAACATACTACTGTTTGGATTTTGCTCTATGTATGAAAGTTAGCTCAATCACCAAAAAATCCTGGATCTGTCATTGGGTATATTGAAGTAACCATATCTGAACCAAGATTCTAAGATTTTCTTTTAGGTTTTTTAATTCTATTTACATTTTAAATTTGTTTTAATACTGAAGATTTTACCTTTAATTTTTATTTACTATTATTTTTCATTTTTGTACCAAAAAAAATGTATTTTTATTTTTAAAATTGTTTAATAAATTTAATTTAATTAAAAAAAAAACAGTTTTATCTTTTAAGCAAATGATATAATTTTTTTCTATGTGGGAAGGGAGGAGAAGTTTTTAGCTCTCTTTAATTACACTAAAGTTTAAAAACCCTCAAACAAATTCACTGAATTGAATTAGTTTTAAGTTAACTAGTTTTTAAAACAAACAGCTTATTTAATTTTAAAAAAGTTTATAAATGGCCTTGTTTTTAAACCTTGCTAATTCAAAGAGCATAGTTATTCTTTTGGTTTGTAAAAATTTTTTATGAATCAAATCTTTTATGAATCAACGCAAAATATGCTAAATTTTTTCACTCTGATTTTTAAGTTAGTGCCTGAGAATTAACTCCTTTTTTTTTACTTGTTCCCAATAATACACATTTTCGTGCGTGTCTTTATAAATGCAGTTAAAAAGTATAAATTTACAGTATTTGTAAAAATAGGAATTACATTTTATGTCTTGTAATATCTCAAAACACTCTTAATCTTTTAGTTTGCAAAATTTGAAGTCATTTTTGAATCAGTGGTAGATAAACAAACAAAAAATTAATTTTTTAAGTTATGCGTTCCAGTCAAATGATTAGTTTATTTCTATATTGATTCTAAGAGAGCATTGCAATAGCAAGTTATAATTGGACGTACTTTTGATTAAAATTAATTTAAAATTCAATTTAAAAAATGATTAAAATTCAATTTAAAAAATTTATTGTACCTAGAGCCACAAATTTTTAGACACTTTTACATGACTAAGTTCTATAACTCAATATTTTATACTTATATTAATACAAATTAATTAATATAGAGATGTGATCATTTCAGTTTCACTATTTTTAGACAAGCCTTGAGTTTAGACATTGAATAAATCCGTTTATAAATCCTTGTGCAAAGTTTTTAAAATCCTCGTCCAAATTTAAAAGATAGATTTAGGTTTGTGTAAACTTTTTTTTTTTAAATGGAATGCTAATTTAATTTGATAAAAGTTCATAAATGGCCTCCTTATTATGACTTGTTCTGTCAAAGAGCATAATCAAGGAAACTGTATTAACTAAATTAGGCAAACTTTATTTTACAAAAACAAGTAAAAACAGGCGCTCTAACTACTGAGCTTTAACTGGAAATTTTCTATAACTGGAGTATAAATGTCAAGAAAATAAAATTTTTTAAACTTAATTCTTAATACTTTGGTTTGCAAAATGCAAGTCATTTTTAAATTGACGCTAAAGATACTAAATTTTTCAAGTTAATTTTGTTTTACCAGTTTGTCCCCGAAAATGCACATTTTTTTGCATGTCCCCGAAAAAACACATTTTATTGTATGTCCCCGTAATTGATCATTTTATGTTTAAAAAATTTACGGGGACCATTTTTTACAAAAAATTTATATATTTAGTTGTCATTAAGTCTATAAATTAACCTCATATATATATATATATATATATATATATATATATATATATATATATATATATATATATATATATATATATATATATGTTGCCGACCTCAAACTTTTTGAGGTCGGCATCAGGTCAGCAAAAATTATTTGATACAAAGGTCTGACCATAAAACATAGAAACGAGGTTTCAAGCTTCCAGGTCAGCAGTTATATATATATATACACACACACACACACACACACACACACACACACACACACACACACACACACATATATATATATATATTGCACATCTAGTGCAATGCTGTCTGCTGTCTTTATGCCAACTTTCTAACTTAACTTCTTTTAACTTTCTCTCGAATATCCTCAATTCTTCTTAAATCACTTACTCTTGGTCTGCGAAGGGGCTTATAATGCTCTTTAGTGAGCTGAACTCGTCTTCATGGGCCTTGGTATGTGGCCTCTATATGGCAATTAACCGGAGGAGCTTAAACCACATGGAGGATAAATGCATGGAAAGAAGGTATATATTAATTAAAATATTATGTTAGACGTATTTTTATATTTACTTTTTTGTAGTGCAGTCTTTTTAAAAGACTCTTAATTATTATTCTCTATATTTAAATTATTTAATAGTGGTTTGACAAAGTTATCTGTAGAATAGAAGTTTTGATGATAATTGTTAAATTATTATTTAATTATTTATTTTTATTCATTTTATTAATTTATATTTTATTGATTAATTTTGATTGTAACTTTTAAAATAAAATACTACTATTGAAAATTTTCCTCAGGTTCATGCTTTGGTTCTGGTTTCAATCCAACCTTGAATTTCAAATGTACCTACATCTGAATCTTCTAGTCCTACGCTTGACAAACAGATAGATGTTTCCAAAGTTACCTGGAAAAACTGCCAGCCAATCATAGATTTACTCCACAAAAATACTCCTATTTTGCCAAAACACAGAAATACAATGATTAGAGTCATTTGTGATAATATACTTTCATGCTTTTTTATAAAAAATCTATAAAAATCCATAGTTTTTTCATATTACCTGTAATGTATTCTAACTTTATACTTTATACTTCTACCCTACACTTTCTTCTAAATCACTGCATTCTGTTATCTGCAATTGTAAGCTCTACATGTTTGCTCTACATACAATTTTTAAATATTTTTAACATTACTTTCTTTTCTTTTTTTTTTACTGTAAATAATGATTTATTAATCTGATCTGATTATTATGTAGATGCAAAATGAATCCTGAAAGTTAAAATAAAATCGAAATAAAACTAGTAAAAAACAGTATGTTGAATCTAATCTTAAATTAAATTTAAGAAAATTAGTAAAAACTGAGCTACTCTTAGTTGTGCATCATCAGAAATTGATATATATTCTTTCTATTTATAGGAAAAAAAAATCTTTTAAGTGGTTTAATATTTAAATTGATAATAGATTTCAATGTATAGATTGTGAAAATGGAATTAACTCAAAAAATTTATTTTTGTGACTCACCACGTTTTGCATATGGTCTAAATGATTGAAATTTTCTTTAAATGTTTTATAAGTAGCTCAAAACTACTGAGTTTTTTTATGTTGTGTTTGATGTGCATTATGTTATAATTTTTAATTATTTCATGAGTAGTTTCTTAATAGTCAAATTACATTTTTATAACAAGATATATATTCTTACAAAAATTGAATTACAAATTATAACAAAATATAAAATTCATTTATTTTAGATTTTCGTGTAAACTCTGTAAGATGAGTCAAGTAACTATTTGCTATTTGCTGAATTAACAGAGCTTTTCCATTAATTTGTACGGAAAAAATGAAATACGGAAACTGAATTTTATGGAGAAAGTTCTGTATCTTTCTTAAAAGACTTTTTTCGTTGATAGTCACAGAAATTACAAACTACAGAAATCATTAATTTTTACGGAAAACGTGCGGTCACTTTGCTGCCGGACATTCTCCATTGAATCTAAGGCAAACTTTTTAACAGTGTATATATATGTGTATGTATTCTTAAGTATATACACAAACATATACTTATAATTTTATTAACAACACTTTATATATCAGCTATTGCTTCTTTTAATGAAATTAATTTTTATTTATATATAAACAGTATTTTTAAATTTTTTAGATTTTATGAATGTTGGCGATTTCCAGGATATATTGTAACAATATTTGGAGCATATCCTATATCAAAACAAATGGTTATTTTTTTTTGAACTGCCATGTAATTAAAAGTCCTTCAAAAGAAATTTTGTCTGCTTGTATTTAATGGACTAGATGTGTTCAAGGATCACAAGTTTTTACCAATTCGGCCATTAAACAGGTTTTAGATATCAGCATATCAATTTATAGGAGACAACATCCTATATTACCAGCACAGGTGTGACGGTGTAATGTTGTTTTAGAATTTGTTTGCAATATCCCATTACAAATACTTCCAAATCACTCAAAAACTTTATAGACATTGTATCATGCTTAGCTTCACTAACCTTTCTACAAAATGATCTTTGGATGAAATGTAAAACAATTATGAGGAAAATGGTTCCAAAGCATCTACGAGAGGTTTTATAGGAGAAATTAAAATGGTGACTCCATTATTTTTATAAATATTTAACATATCAAAGAATAAAAACATAGATAATCGAAAAATATCAACAAAGACCTTGCTTTAAATATGAACTTCAGTGACTCATTTGGTCATTTGGTATATAACAATATTAATATTGTAAGATGCTATATGTAAAGAACAAGAAAGTTAAGTTTGTTTTGTATCAATAATTGTATCCTAAAAATATCGCCATAAAATTTTAAAATATGATTAAATGATTTTGTGGCAATATTTGCAAGATGTTGTCTCTTGTTAGGATATTAGAGTTTATATAAGCCAGCTTCACCAGTTTTCTTTTTTTCTCTTTTACTAAAACTTAAAAGTTAAATAGATTTATTGAGCCAAAAACAATTGTTTATATTATAAACTTAATAAAAGCAAAAAATGTTTTCTCTAATTCATATATTGAACCAAATGGCCACACTCTTTCTCTCACTTCAACGATACAAGTCAGCTCAAACTGAGAGGCAATTTTTTTGCAAAGCATTCTTTCTTGAAATAAGTATTCGCTCCGTGTCTGGAGGTTAGCTATCTCAAAGTCCATGAAATGCTGGATCCGCCCTTGATCTATACAGATTTTGATCCTATCATTCTACTGCTGACTTGTTAACCCTTATAACAAAAATATTCTCTTATACATTAGATGAAATCTAATTCTTGTTAACCATTTTCTTCTACAGATTTTGTTCTCCTACCACTATATATATATCATATTTGTCCTAGTATTGAAAACTATTGTCAAAATTTTTAGTTAATTTTCTGCTCCCAACTCCCAACGCCATTAGAGTTTCCTTGCAGCCTTGTTGGAGTTAAATATTTTTTAATAAAAATTTTAACAAGAAAAATTAATAACAAAAACCTTGTATTTGACATATATGCTTTGCTGATAACCGCATAACATATATGCCATTTGAACATTAAGTAGCTGTTATGTCGTAGTTAGAGTCTTGGACTAAATAGAAGGTAACACAAGCATGTTCATTTAAATACAGTGATTTTTTATTAAATTTCCAAGTTTTAACAAAAATAAAACACAAAAGAAAAAGTTGTTATTTTTGTAACACCTTTTAATCTATTTTTGTAAGTTAATATTTTAAGTATAAAACTCAGAAATATTGTTTAAAAATATATAGTTAATTTGCTTTATTTAAAAGGTTTTCACTTTTCAAATACTCTGCCGTTATTGGCTGCAAAATTTATTTTCCTGATTCCCCCTTTAAATCGACGCCTTTTAAGTTTTTCAAGTTTGACTTTTTCAAGCGCGATCTTGAAATTTTCAAGTTTTGTTCACGCATTTGCTCAAGCTTGTTTTTGTTGTCTAACTTGACTAAGTCAGACTTCAAAGTTCAAGTCAAACTTCACTCAAATTGGCTTCTTGCATATCACCCTTAATTTAGCGTTATTAAAACAAGTTTGTTTATTGAAGATTAATGCAAAAATAAGTGCGAAAACAAAGATAATCAAATAACAAATCCAACAGAATTAAAAAAAAAAATTAAAATATTTTAACAATTTAATGATCCAGACCGTATTACCATATAACCCTGGATTAGCATTTTGAATAACGATGATTTATACTATACAATACTATAGCTCTTAGTAGCCCAATGTTTTAATTTTTTGTTAAAATGAACTACCAAATGATCTACATCAATGTAATCCACTTCTAACAAGACTGCAAACAACCACTATTAAGTTGGAAGTTACTAAAAAACAAAATATAGTGTTAAAAAGCAAGAAACGGTTGACTTAAAAAGCTGTATGAGTCAGAAAACATGAAGATGAAAGAGAGTTCGAAAGGCTTAAAGTGAGGAGAAAAATCATATTTAATGGACAACACTCTGCTCTATTTCCAGTAAGGTACCAGTGAGGTTCTATCCTTGGTCCTGAATTTTTTTCTCTCCTATATTAATGATCTTCCTGATAACTATACCTTAAAGGCAGCTCTACTTGCTGATGACACAACTATTTACTCCAGTCTTGAAAAAAAAGTCATAACGTTTTAATCACTTAAAAGCCAATTTTAAGAAAGTTTCTCCTGACCTGGTTTGCAGTGGTCGGTGAAATTTATCTCAAAGAAAAATTGTTTGCTAGCAATTATTTTATTCCTATATTGATGAATAGCAACATTTTCTACATTTATTAATTTTATTTTTCACTATTAATCTTATATATCTATTGCAAAGTTACCATCGATTAAGATTGCCTCCTTTATCATGCTTCCCACTTTTATACTTTTGATTTTCTCTACCTCCATAAATCAATTATTTGTCCTTGTATAGAATACTATTATTTTTTTAAATGTTATTTACCTCCATAAGGCCGAGGGGGCCACTACAGTCAAGGAGAAGTTTTCATAATAAGCATTTTTTCAGGCTTCTGTCAGATATTTTTTCAGACATCTGAAAGACATTTTTTAAAACTTCTTTCAGATATTTTTAAAGACATATGTCCGATATTTTTTTTCTTTATCTTCTATACTTTCTAGTAACTACTATGTCAAATTGTTTGTAGTCTTGTTAAAAGTAAATTTCTTTATAAAAAAAATCTTTTTACACTAATCATAAAGAATCAGTTACAAAATCAGAATATATATCTAATATATATACAAAAAAGCTATTAATTTAGGAATAATATAACTGGTACATAATTCCACTATGTACCAGTACCAATTTTGATTAGCAGGTCCAACCATATAATATTTGTTAGGTATTTTATATAGCTAAAAGATTTTATTGATTTTAACTTTGTGAAGAAAAAATGTTATGAATAACGAATTAACATTTATTTTTACAATATTTCTAGGAAGTTTTTCAAACTTAGAAAAACAAAAAAATAAATAAAAAAAGATATATATAAAATCTTATTTAACAGAAAGCTTTAAAGACAAATATGATTGATGAGCAATAATATAAGATGATGGCAATTCTAGAGTAAATTACAAAAAATAAAAGACAGACTAATTTAAACTTGTTTAAAAGTTTAAGAATTTTATCAGTATTATGACAGGTAATACTATAATACTATTGTACCAATGCCTTTTTCTTTAGTGCCCCTCTTATATTAAAACAAAATTTAAGTAGATTTTAGGACAGTATGATATTTTAAAGGGCATTTAATTAATTTTAAAGTGCATTGTTATTGATGAAGGCATTGATAACTTTCTTAGTCAATATGATAAAACAATACTACTTACCTTTTAAGGGTAATCCTGTTTTTATTAGAAATTGCTTCTTTTTATCATCTGAAAGAGAATCAAATTTACATTTCCATGTAGGCAATTCAATAGGTGCAGGTGTAGATGTAGGTGGTATCGATGCAGGTAATGCAGTAGGTGCAGGTAATGCAGTAGGTGTAGTAGTATGTTTTAGTAACATGTTTTGATTTGTATTTTCATTGGTAACAATTTTTGTATTAATTTGATTGTTTTCACATCCATCCGGACTATCTCTATTGTTAATTGGAGAGTTATTTAAACTTAACTGACTCATCTTAAGTTCTAAAAAAATCAGAAACATTGAATACAGATAGAATTCAAGTTATGCTGTTTTCTGCAAAATATGTGTATATATATACTAACATACATACACTCCCTCATTGTGCCAACTAAATAATGAGATACATTTAATTATATAACTTAAAGTTTGTGCATAATAATATTATAAAATTGTTGATGTTATAAGTTAAATAATTAATATGTTAAAAAGCAAGCGAAACATATGCTTGGAATAATGTGTTGCAAAAGAATGTAACATAATATTTCGGGTTTTCAGTACTTGCTAGAAATTCGAACACTGAAATAATGAGAATTGTTAGATAAAACTATTCATGCATTTTGCTTGATTGATTAAAAAACTAGTTTGTCATACATTATACTTTTGTCTACAACTAGTATAAATGTTTACAATTATGTCTGAAAATTAATCAAACAAAAAAAACTATTGGTTTGACTCTAGTAAGTGACTGGGGTTGATATTTGACCAGGGCCGGGTTTGATCAAATATATCCGGAGTCAGGTTTGTGACCAGGGCTGCATAAACATTTATACATCCTAAAAAATTTTTTTTAGTCAAAATTCATGTTATATTTTGTATATATATGCATATATATACATTATCATGATCATAATCATCATTACCATCATCATCATCATCATCATCATCATCATCATCATCATCATCATCATCATCATCATCATCATCATCATCATCATCATCATCATCATCATCATCATCATCATCATCATCATCATCATCATCATCATCTGATCATTGCCTCTTCTCTCTTAATCATCATTATCATCATCATCATCATCATTATCATGATGATGATGATCATCTTATCATCTTCTTTTTCGGCAAATACACCATATAAATACTAAAGTTAATATAAATATGAAAGGATATTGAATGCCAACATATAAATAAATAGCAAACATATATGTTTATATCCACAATAATTATGCATAAAGAGCATCTCGGAAGATTTTATTTCTTCTGGACTAAAAGTTTGGAAGCTTATATTCCTAGTCTTTAATTTTAAGTAAAGCCTCATCTTACTCCACATTTTTCACCATCTTGAGCAGTTGCTTTATTAATCATTTATTTTATTTACTTTTTTACAAGAAAATCTCTCTTAAGAACAAATGTCTTTTTATTAAACCAAGAGGCCAATGCACAGTAGACCTAAATCATTATTAGCTGGGCAAAAGTAAGAATTTTTAAAATATTTATCAGGTTTTTCCCATAATTACCAGGTTGAGTATATTTCATATAAAAAATCTAATGGCACTATTAGATTGTTTATTTGGTTGCTATAGATACCTAAATTTCATAGCAACACTGCATTTTGCATAGTTACCTAAATTAAAAGACCTTCTTAAAACGCCAAACTTATAAACTAAACTGATATTAATGCAGGGTGTAAACTAGGAATAAACTTGATACACCTCCCACTCCTCCCTCCCCCACCCTCTCCCAACCCTGCCAAGAATAAAATGTGTTAGTTGGGTCTTTTTATTTTTTTCTTTCCTCTTTTATTCCAAATAAAAAAAATACTGTAACATTTATTGAAGATGAATATGAAATCAACACAAAATTAAATTGGCTTCACAATTACACAGCAAATTAAACTTTGATTATTAAGAATAATATATTTGATTATTAAGAATAATATATTTTTATATTATTTTAATCTGTATATATTAAAAATTATTAAGAATTATATATTTGATTTTATTTTAACCTTAATTTATTATTGCTGCTTTCATTTTAAGAGTATTCTTTTAAATATATATTTATTTTTCACCGGTGGGCATTTATGCACATGGATTTCTTTTAATACAAACGAGCAGTAAAGTAAAAGAATCTATTTTCCTTTTTAAACAAATTTCTACTACCTGTTAGTTATAATCATAAAACATTTTTTGTGTTTAACTTATATTTCAGCGGCGTTCTTTTAAAAAAGTTAGTCGAGAAAAAATAGTAGATAGGTAAAAAAAGATTTTAGTTGATGCCGAAAAGTAAAAAATGATAATAGTTGATAAAAAAAGAAAAACAATAACTAAAAGACTAACCGTAATGCTCGCATATATCAAAATTTTGTAAGTATCTGACACAAACGGCTTCTCAATATTTTGAATAAACTTATTTGTCAAAGCAAATGTACTACTTAAAATAGAGTTTGCAGTAAGACTTAATAAGCAGGGCCAATAACACCGGGAAAGGGGGGTAGGGCAAGGGGGCATGTGCCCACCACCACCACTTTTTTTCTAAAGGACTTTTTTTTATTTAGAAAATCGTATATATATATATAGGACTTTTTCAGAAATTGACAATTGTGCCCCCCCCCACTTCAAAATCCATGTTGTCGGCCATGATAAGTTATTTGATTTTTTTGCCAAAATAGGCAAAACTTTTAAAGAAATGGCATTTGCGGATGTTAAATCAAACATACTTGTTATATGTTTAGATTTTACCTTATTACTTGCTATTTTTTTAATATAATATTTGCTGTTGTTGGAAGGCATTGCAAAGAATTATGAGCAAATTTTGAGAAATGAATTTTACAAATAAGTTGCTGAGAAAATCCCTAAAATTGCTGGGAAAATCCCAACTCTCAAGAAGCTTTTTCAAAGAGACATTTTCACAGTTAAGATAAGTTTCTACTTATCTTAACTGTGAAAATGTCAAAATGTCAAAATGTGAAGAAAGGGAAAAATAATCAAGTAAGCATGGATAGTTTTACTTTAGACAAATTAAACTTATAATACACATGCCCACGTGATTATTTTTCCCTTCCTATTCTGGTGAAAAAACTATTATTCTCTTAGTATTTAATAACAATTAATTTTCTATAATTTTGAGAATCATTACTAAATTTTAATTTATGAATTAGCAAACTTTATTAGGAGCATGGAATTTTTAAATTGGGAATTTTAATTTTATAAGCATTTGGAAATACCGCGTTTGACAGGACTCCACAAGGCTAGTTTACACCCTGTAATGCTACAATACTATTTTATGTATTTGAATAACACAAAAAAAAAATTACTAATTTTTGGTGTTGCTATGCAGTTCTGGGCTCTTAGAAACCAGTTAGGGATTTTTTTGAAAGATTTACTTATTCATAATTTCTTTAAAAAATGAAATAAAAACTTTGAAAACAATCTTAACTCAAAGGGTTTATAGTAAATTATTTAAATTTTGACTGTGTAGTTCAGATGTCCTTAGCAACCAAACAAAAATTAACAAGTTTTCATACAATTAGAGCTACAAAAAACGTTTTTATTAGGATGATGGGGTTTTCTCAAACTACTTATCAAAGGGTCAGAAGAACACATTAGTTGGCTTAATAAATCTTCATTAGTTTTGGAACGTGAACACTTTTTGGAAAATGATTCTGGAAATTTCTTAAAGTTTTTAACTTGAGGTTCTTGTGTCTCTTCACTGAGCATGCCATTAGGTAAAGCCATTCATTCTACAACTTGACAACCATGGATAAGAATGTGATGCAGATTCTGTGGCATATGAAACCAGGGATAAAGGTTTACATACTTCTCAGCTGTTTTGTAGCAGTATTCTGTAAATAGTGAAGAGTCAATTAGAAAGTTAGATGACAATCTACACAAAATAGCATCTTTATCATACTGACATTAAGTTTAAGAATTTGAGCAGACTTCTCTGCATTCTGAAAAAACCTTCTAGCAGTGTTTCCATTATTTGAAGACCTAGAGCCATGGGACGTTGGCATTTCAATTACCAGTCCAACTTTGTCACGAAACCTTATCTGGATTTTCTATTATCCTTCTGGAATAATTTTCTTTTCAGATGGTGTCCTTGTAGCCCACTTTTTCGCTGTCAATTTATAACTAATTTAAGAAGACATTCCACAATTTTAATCCAAACATCAAGAGTTGAAAGACCAAAGCAGAGACCTACTTCTGTCAATGGCATATTTTTAGTTGCTTTAAGATCATTCATTTTTGTTGGACTGCATCCACAAATAGAACAACACTGTGAAGATGTAGTTGTTGTAGATAATGCTCTAGCAACTATACCATCCACCATTGCTATTTCAATTTTATAAAGTCTTGTTAAGTTTTCACAAAATGTTGAAGACAAATTTTTACTTAAATCATTAATAAACTGATTCTCTTATTTCAAAACCTCAATGGTCTCTTTTTTAAATGAGAATCTTGTCGGTCTGCAATATAAAGTTGAAGATAGATATGGATTAGATCAAACTATTATTTTTGTTATCATTAATGTATCCAAATAACTGAAGTGGAACAAAACAAGAAAGAAATAAACTAGCTTCTTCTAAAAAATTTCTGTTTTCTTTCTCAACTGTAACCTGAGTATAAATGCTTTGGCTAGTTGATCCATCAAACCCAACTTTATAATGTAATGTTAGTCTTTCAAGATCATTCATGGAATCAATAACTTGTTTCTGCAACTGTATTAGATATATTGCTGTATGATTGACTAATACTTGAAAGTTTATTTCTGTACAAAAATCATTAACAGTCTATAATGTTTTTTCAGGAAGACATCGTTCTTTAGCAGCATGAACATTGTTGCAAGCAGGATAGAGATTACAACCTTTGCTTGCCGCATTATTTCTCAAGTGTTGGTAATCAGATTTGCTCATATTGTTATCTAATATGAGCGCTAGAGCTTCATTTAGAGTATTTTGAGCATGTTCTGTATCAGAAGGTTGCTTAATAGATAAACTTTGAACTACTTTTGCATCTTTTCTTCTGCCATTTTTAAAAGGATTACAACTACTAGCATATAACAGTTCATTTGAAGAACTAGTTAGTAAGTCAATAGCTGCATGTGTGTGTGTGTGTGTATGTATATATATATATATATATATATATATATATATATATATATATATATATATATATATCAGGCCTTGTTTTAAAGTGTAAACTGGTGTGCAATTTACATACCCTGTAAGCCATTTTATGTAAGCGGTAAGCCATTTCATGTA